CCGGCCCTGGGGCCTTCCCCGGGCCCAGTCGCCCGCGGGGCCGGCGCTCGGGCCGCAGCGGCCAGGCCATTCCCGGCGAGGGCTGACAGGAGGCCGCCCAGCTGGGCCGGCGGGCAGTGCCGGCGGGGAGGTGATCAGCTTTCATTCGGTTTCCCAGGGAGGAGGAATGGCTGGGGTGGGGCGCAGGTGGGGGCCTCCCCTTGCCTCCCTTACCCCAGTCTCTCCTCCTCTCTGCGGAGTGATCAGAGAGGCTTCCTGGCTGCACTTTCCTGCAGGGGAGCCGGGGTGGGCAGTGGAACTGGGGGCCCAGGGCCGGGGACCTTGGGTCTGGCAGCCATTCATGCCGGAAAAGAACAGTTGGGTTGCCGCAGTCGGACCTAGACCGCGCTCAGAGTAGCTCCGCTTCCCTCTTTCCTGGGGAGGCTTCAGTACCTGCTTGCGCGTGCAACCTGCTGCCTCCACCCGGAGCCGCTCCTTTCCTTCCTCCTTTCCCGGAAGATGCTGAGGATGACAGCCGTTCGCCTGACTGTTATGTTTCTTTGGCAGAACAGTTAGAGGCCAGGCTGGCCTGTGAAGGCATCCCCTACCTTCTCCTCTTTCCCTCGGGAGAAAACTTAGAAACTTTTCAATGTTACAGGCGGAGGAGCCAGGAACCTGAAAGCCGGTTGCATCTGATTCTGAAAGTTCCTCCTTTTCCCTGTCATTACCTTATGCTGCCACAAAGTGGTGAGTTAGAGATTTGCTTGGGCCGGGTGGTCTTTACCTTCCATTGATTACCCAGAATGTTAGTGATTTGGAGCGAGGGAACAGGGCTGTCTCCGGAAAGGGGAGGAGGAGAAAGGCTCCATGGTTAGTGTGCTGCTTCCCACACTGCAGAGGCAAACTCCTAATTGCTTACGTTTTCCTGCAGGCCTTGACACTGTCAGATTCAGAGGATTTAGGACTTTTTTCTTGGTGCTCTGGGAGATGACTAGAGTGGGGAATTCTGCTGTGTAGACATCCAGGCTGGGTGGGTCTGGGGACCTGTCCTCTAACCCCCATCATGCGTTGGCTCAGCTCCCTGCCAGGCCATTCAGCCTGTTGTGTGGAGAGAGAACAGGTGCATGGTCAGGGCGGAGGGTGGTGGAGAGGGATGTGGGCCAGCCCCTCACGGGAGAAGGTTTTTGAGATGGTCTTCAGTTCCGTGTAGTTGTTGTAAATATTGAGTGAACTGAGACTGTTAGCTGTTGGGCCCTCGGATCTGGGAAGGCTGGCCTCCCAGACCTCAGACCCAGCAGGCCGTTCTCCTGAGGAATGATGTCCTGGGTTGAGATTCAGGGCAGCAGTGGGAGAGGAGCTGGCAGACCCCATGGAGGCCTCTCTGCTTTTATCCATCTTATATATTGGGTTTCCAAGTAAGAACTTATTTGCAAAGAAAAATTATGTTGCTAAAATTATTGTTTTTTGGACACCACGGCCCTAACTGGTCGGTCTTCCCTCCTTCTTGCCTTGGAGCATGAGCAGAATTTGTGACTTCTTTTATTGTGGGCAGATCACCCCAGACTCTCACCTGTGAGACAGCTGGTTAAAGAGGGTTGGCAGTGAGCTGGGAGGCTGGGATGCCCTGGCCCAGGGATGGCGGCCTGAGCGTGGGTGGGGGTGGAGGCAGCCAGCATCCGCTTTGCTGGAGAAGTTGAGCTGCCAGCAGCCTTCTTTGGTGTGTGAAGAGAGCAGACCTCCCAGCCCTGATGTGGTTTATGTCAATGTGGCACATGCAGGCAGAATAGGGAGAAGGCCCAGGGAACAGCTGCGTGTTCCTGCCTCATGCTCATGATTTCTCTCTTCTCTACAGAACCCGTCATCGGGGAAGGCAGAGCCTCCCTGGCATTGCTGGCACCCTGCCTCGAAGAGCCCCCCGTCCTGTAGGCAGAGCCTTGTAGTCCGTCTCGGTTAATGACTTGGGCCGTCTGACCAGACCCTCTTCTGTGCCTTGTCTGAGGTCCTTGTCCATACCTGATCCTGGGCAACTTCTCTCTCTGGGTTGGGTCACCTTAAGCGGGGAAACTGAAGCCATTACTCTCCAAACCCTGTTTCATCTTCCCAAGCATGTCGGAAAGCTGGCAGCAGCCGCCACAGACGCAGCCACAGCAGCCACAGCCTCCGCAGCCTCAGCACCATGCAGAACCACCACCAGCCCTGGCCGAGCACACACTGCCCCCGGGCACAGCTGAGAACCCGCTGGGCTGTGCCGTCTATGGCATCCTCCTGCAGCCCGACCCAGGCTTGCAGCCCCCGCAGCATGCGCCCCTGCAGGCAGCAGGCGAGCCGGGCCCTAAGTGTGGTGTCTGTGGTCACGACCTGGCACACCTGTCCAGCCTGCACGAGCACCAGTGCCTGGCAGGCCATGACCGCTCATTCCAGTGCACGCAGTGTCTCAAGATCTTCCACCAGGCTACTGACCTGCTGGAGCACCAGTGTGTGCAGGCGGAACAGAAGCCTTTTGTCTGTGGCGTCTGCAAGATGGGCTTCTCGCTGCTCACCTCGCTGGCGCAGCATCACAGCGCCCACAGTGGCACCGGCGGCCTCGTGAAATGTTCCATCTGCGAGAAGACCTACAAGCCCGCCGAGGCGGCTGAGCCAGCGGCCGCTGCTGCCCCCTCGCTGCCCCAAGCAGCCCCGCCCCCTACCGTCGCTCCTGCTGAACAGGCCGACAAGCCCTACAGCTGCCCCATCTGCCAGAAGCCCTTCAAGCACCTATCGGAGCTCTCGCGGCACGAGCGGATCCACACGGGTGAGAAGCCCTACAAGTGCACGCTGTGTGACAAGAGCTTCAGCCAGTCGTCCCACCTGGTGCACCACAAGCGCACGCACAGCTCGGAGCGGCCCTACAAGTGCGCGGTCTGCGAGAAGACCTTCAAACACCGCTCCCACCTGGTGCGCCACATGTACGCGCACTCGGGCGAGCACCACCTCTTCCGCTGCAACGTGTGCGAGCTGCACTTCAAGGAGTCGTCGGAGCTGCTGCAGCACCCGTGCACGCCGAGCGGGGAGCGGCCCTTCCGCTGCGGCGAGTGCCAGAAGGCCTTCAAGCGGCCGTCGGACCTGCGGCAGCACGAGCGCACGCACAGCGCCGAGCGGCCCTTCAAGTGCGACCTGTGCCCCATGGGCTTCAAGCAGCAGTACGCGCTCATGCGGCACCGGCGCACGCACAAGACCGAGGAGCCCTTCAAGTGCGGCCTGTGCGAGAAGGGCTTCGGGCAGCCCAGCCACCTGCTCTACCACCAGCACGTGCACACCCTCGAGACCCTCTTCAAGTGCCCCGTGTGCCAGAAGGGCTTCGACCAGTCGGCCGAGCTGCTGCGGCACAAGTGCCTGCCGGGCGCGGCCGAGCGGCCCTTCAAGTGCCCGGTGTGCAACAAGGCCTACAAGCGGGCGTCGGCCCTGCAGAAGCACCAGCTGGCCCACTGCTCGGCGGCCGAGAAGCCCCTGCGCTGCACCCTGTGCGAACGCCGCTTCTTCTCGTCCTCCGAGTTCGTGCAGCACCGCTGCGACCCAGCCCGCGAGAAGCCGCTCAAGTGCCCGGACTGCGAGAAGCGCTTCAAGTACGCGTCAGACCTGCAGCGGCACCGGCGGGTGCACACGGGCGAGAAGCCCTACAAGTGCCCCAACTGTGACAAGGCCTTCAAGCAGCGGGAGCACCTCAACAAGCACCAGGGCGTGCACGCCCGGGAGCAGCAGTTCAAGTGCGCGTGGTGTGGCGAGCGCTTCCTGGACGTGGCCCTGCTGCAGGAGCACAGCGCGCAGCACAGCGCGGCCGCTGCTGCTGCCGAGGGCGCCTACCAGGTAGCCGCCTGCCTGCCCTGAGTCCATGCCACGCCCCGCCGGGCCCCGCCCAGCCTCCTTACACCAAGCCCTCCATCCAGCTCGCGTTCCGGGGCCCTGGGCTTGAGGACAAAAGGGCGCTGGGCAGGTGGAGGGTGTGGGTGCCTGGCGCTCCAGGTACCGGCCTGGAGGTGGGGGGACCCAGATTGCTGTGGCTGGCCCTGATTCCACAAACCTCTTTTCCATTACAGGATTCGCTTTCTTGAGAGCTGTCAGCCTCCCTTGTCTCCGGGGGACCGGAGCCAGGCTGGAAGTCAAGTGGCCTCTCTCCACCCCAGGAGGGGGTGGTGCCAGCCCAACCTTCCCAGTCCTTTCAGCCTGATTAGAAACCAGATAGGTTAGGAAAGAGGATGGTCATGGCAGGGCCTGGGAGAAGGGCCAGACCCCAGAGGTGGGCCGGACCCCAGAGGTGGGCTGGAGGTAGGGCATCCCCCTTCAAGTTGTTTGAGGGAGAAGGCCAGCTTTGTGATGTGGTCCTGGGGACCAGGAGGACAGACCATGAGCCACAAGCCTCTCCGCTCCAGCCAGGGGCGATGCTTCCTCTCTGTTTGACAGGTGAGACGTACAGGAGGGCTGCACATCTGTGGGCTGCGTCTCCCTGGAGAGCAGTCGGCCCACCCAGAAGGAAGGAAGCAGAGAAAGTCTCCTGTGACACAGTCAGAGGGTCCCCAGATGGGGAAGGAGGAAAGGCAGCCTTTGCACCGACGTCTAATCTCACTGCTTTAGAAGTGCCCCTCCCACCTGGGCAGCATGGTTCCAAGCTCTGGTAGGGAATGTGCTGTCAGCCAGATAGAACTGCCCATGTGAAAGAAGGGGATTGTTAGACCACCTGGTGTCTGGGAGGAAGCAGGGCTGAGCCCATGATCTTCCCAGGGGATGCAAACAAGTGTCCACCCACTTGAATTGTGTGAACCAAAGCGTCAAGGGCATGGCCCTAATCAGCTCGCCCCAGCCCTGCTTCAGGGCCAAGACCAGGCCTGGGTACCCAGGGTGGGGGAGGCGAAAGGACTGTGGGAATGGCATCTGACTCCACAGTGCCCTCCTGGCCCAGGGGAACCCTCCCCCGTCAGTCCTGCTGCTGGCCTGGACCCCAGGGGTCTTGCACTGCCAAGATGTTCTAGACAGCATCCAGCTACGTCCAAGGCCAGAGCATTCTCCCTTGGGTACTCCGAGGGTCCCCCTGGGTCTCTGGCTGCCCACAGGGCTCGTGGAGCCGAGGATGTCCAAGGCATAGGGAGTGGGCAGAGGAAGAGAGTTGTTAAGGAAACCAGTGGGTAGCTGGAGTCAACTGATCTCTGGACAGCCGGGGCCCTCCTCAGGAAGCCCAGAGGACCTTTATTATTGAAAAGATTGTTTTGAACCCAGCTCTTCCCTCTGCCCACTTCCAGCCCTCTCCCCTGGTCATGGGTCCTAAAAGAAGACTTGAGTCAGTGCACGCACCAAGGGCCCAGAGGAGCAGGGAGACCCGCCTTGTCCTCCTCTCACCTTAAGAAGTCTGAAAAGCCCCCGTCCGCCTCTTCTGCCTGCCTGGGTCCTCTTCCTGTGCCTGCAGAGAGGGGCTGGTGCTCCCCTCGGTGCTGGCTCCCAGTCACAATGCCTCAGAAGACGGGGAACCCAGGCTGACAGCAGTCTCAACTGCTAATTTTTTCCTTTCATTTTGCTTTCTAAAAGCAGTTGTTATACTATTCATAACATTGTATAGTTTAATTTCATGTCATTTTGGATCTTATATAAAAATGTGAGAATCTGGATTTTTAAAAAGAATGACTCCATTTTAGATAGCCCCTTTTGATGTTAATATATAGTGAGTCCAATGTATGCTTTAGAAGTAAAGACATTGACCATCACAGACCAAAGCCCTGCTTGTTCTGGTCATTCTTCCACAGGGGGATGATGGGACGCGGAGAGGGGCAGAGGTGTGCAGGCCAGGGTGGCAGGCTTGGGATTGGGACACAAGGCTGGATCCAAATCCTGCGTTTTGAACGTTCTGGTCATGTGACTCTGGGCAAGTCACTTAACCTCTTTGGAACTCAGTTGCCTCATCTGTAAAATGGGGAGGTAAACCCTTGCCTTGCTTAGTTGTGAGAATTAAATGGAGTCATGTATGGAGGCCCTGGTGGGGAAGCTGTGAAGATGCTGGCAGTACCAACTGCAGGACCCCGGGGGCCCTTGGGAATGGGACCGCAGTCTCTTGACCTCCTCGGGGTTTAACCACAGCCCCTGCAAAGCGAGCTGGGCCGTGAGGGACAGCAGCTCATGGATGGTCAGAAGGCAGGGACTGGGTCTGGTAAGCATGAGAGCTTGCTCAGCCCCAGTGGAAAACGAGGGCCTGCCTGGGGCAGCAGTGGACCCAGCCAGACAGGCCCTGCCCCAGAGGATCACCTGCTCTGCCCCCACTTCCACGCAGCCCATGCACATGCTCCATCTGCCTGCCCACCCCAGCCACCTCCCATCTCAGCCTTCCTACACTTTTTCTTCTGTACCCCCGTCTCTGTCCCCTAGCAGGGCGACTGCAACTCAGGCTGCTTCCATTTCTCAAAGGCAAGGGTGGAGGTGCGGAGAGAGGAGAAGCAACCTCGCCAGTGCTGGGCATTGAGAGCCAGTGGAGGGTGGTCAGCAGGGACACCCTGCCCTGGGGGGGGGGACACCCTGCCCTGGGGGGGGGGTGAGGGTAAAAAGTCAAGGGGACAAGTTGCTACTCATGCTGCAGGGGGCTCAAAAGGGGGTGTAGAAGCCCTCGTGGAATGGCCTGGGGGACCCCAGATGTGACCTGGACCCCACACTCCTCTCACTCCCTCTGTGTGGCCAGGGGAGGACCCTGTCCTTGAGAAGCCATGTGGTTCCTCTCTGCAGGTGTCAGCAGGAGGGTGCCCGGGGCCCTCTGTGTCTGTGCCAGGCTCGAGTCCCGCTTCCTCTCTGGCCGAGTGACCTTAGGCAAAACTCACCCACCTCGCAGAGACTCCTAGAAAGCACTGGCTGTGTTTGGTGATTTATAGTTTCAGGTTGCCCTTCCTGAATGGACGATGGTCTGTGCGTGCCAGGGGCAGCAGGAGCTGAGCTCACACGGAGCCTGAAATAACTTGTTCTTCCTTTGTCCCCATCTCCACCTCCTCTCACGAAGCAGTGGGGCTCCTTCAGCTCCCACCCGGCCCTCAGCCTCTGGGCTCCAGCCTGGGCCAAAGCCAGGGCAGGGAATGGAGCCCCGGCCCTGGACGTTCAGGTCCAAGTCCTAGCCCTCTGATAACAAGCGACCCCAGGCAGGTCTCTGCGCCGCTCGGAGCCTCAATTCCCCATCCGAAGCCGAGGTCTTTTTTTTTTTTTTTTTTAAAGATTTTATTTATTCATTTTTTTCCCCCCAAAGCCCCAGTAGATAGTTGTATGTCATAGGTTCACATCCTTCTAGTTGCTGTACGTGGGACTCGGCCTCGCGTTGGACGGAGAAGTGGTGCCTTGGGGCGTGCCCGGGATCTGAACCCGGGCCGCCAGCATCAGAGCGCGCACACTTAACCGCTAAGCCACGGAGCCGGCCCCAGAAGCCGAGGTCTTGACCCCTGATCTCTGAAGGTCCTTAGACACCTGACGCTCTATTCTGGGAAGGAACAGGATCAATCTGTGTCTCCTTTTCCCTCCCTGCCTCTCCTGGCTTGCAGCCTGCTCCCCTCCTGTCTCAGTCTGGACTCTCTGGGTTGTAAGTGACAGAAACAGCACAAACTGGCTTAAGCAGCTGCCCACTGCACCTGGCCACACACACAGGTACCTCTGCCACCTGCCTGCCCAGGACCCCCACAGCGTCCTGTGTCCCATATCTGATGCGAGTCTCCCTCTCTTAGAGCATAGCAGTTTCATAGGGAACTTCAGACATTGTGACGAAGGGTACAAACTAGTGCTCTCTTCAGTGGCAGGGGAAAGAGGCACTGCACAGGGCAGGGGGCGGTGGGGAGTGGGGCATTCTCCTGGGTGCTAGGAGTTGTTGCCAGGGGAGGCTGGGCCTAGACTTTTCTAGGGAGCCCATCATCCTGACAGCTTGTCAAACTCCCACTCGGTGGCTAGCTCTGTGCTCAGCCCTGCAGGGGGACAGCGTGAGAGGACCCTGCTCTCCAGGAGTGGAGCCTGTGCTCATGAACCATGGTGGCAGGGGAGTGGTGTCATGGTTTAAGAGCATCACAGTCAGACCTGGCTAGAGTCCTGCCTCTGCCCCTCATCAGCAGCAAATCTTTGCGCAGGTTGGTGGTCTTCTCTGAGCCTCATCCTCCTCATCTGTGAAATGGAGCCAGTAATGCTCTCTTCTGGGCTGAGGGTGAGAGCACAGTGAAATGACCCATGTGGCATGTTTGCCACATCGTGGCCACTCAGGAAAGCAGAGCACTGGGAGGTCAGAGGCAGGAGGGAGCCAGCCTAGCTCTGCCATCTGAATGTCAGGGCTCTCCCACCCCCACCCCTGACATCCCGTATACAAGTTCTTCCCATCCACCGGCTGGTCTGAGCCTCACACCATCTCTATGAGATGCGCAGGGCAGACCTGAGTATCCCCTGTGGGCTGACCCTTGAGAAGTCCAGAGGCTGCCCAAGCCAGACAGTTAGTGATGACAGTGGCCTGGGGGCTGGCCAGGTGGGCCAGGTGGGGGACGGACAGTGGGGCCGGGACAGCCCTGGGCTGAACCTTGCAGGCCTCCAACTCCAGCCACTGAAGCCTGGGGCTCTGGCTCCAACCCACTCTTTGCTGGCCAGGAAGCCGGGAACAATGGCCGGGACTGGTGCTGCCGCGGGGTCTGGCCAGGGCAGCAGGACAGCTCTTCACCAGCAGGCAGAGGGGCGGCCAGCCCTCCGGCCTGCTCTCAACTCCTTGAGGGATTGAAGCCGTCGTGCTCCGTCTTCCCGTCTGTGCAGAGGTAGCTCCATCTAGAGCCTAGGCCTCCCCAGGGGCCATTGTGGAGTGCCTTGTCTCTGTCCTACATCCCGACCTCCCCCCCAGGCCCCTACCTCATTCCCTTCTCCAGAGGTGGCCTCAGACAGGACCAGGGGCTGCTCAGGCCTTGGACATTTGCCCAGGTCCTCACAGCCTGGGCCAGGCTAGCCTGTGATAAGCTGCACATCCCATCCTCAAGTGATGGTTTCTTTGTTCCTTGAAGGTCATGCCTCCAGGAAAGGCCTTGGCCGCTATTGATTTTTGCAAGGCCGGAGTTCCCAGTCCTCCTCAGGGCCCTGAGGGAGGTCAAGGGGAGGGGCGGGGGCCTATGGGGTCTCCCTCTTCACTGAGCGTGTGTCCATCGCCACCCAGGTCTGCAGGCCTGCCTTTGTCCATCCACAAGCATGACTGAGCACCTACTGTCTGCCAGACACTGAGCCGGTGCTGCAGGGCGTGAAGCAAGAACTTTAGATGAGAGTTTTGAGGTTTTCATGGATCAAAAGGTAAGGTCAAAAAATGTCAAAGCTGCTGATATTTAGTCCAAAACATTACATGCAAGAGTCCTCCCTGGGCCGCCTCGGGGGCTTGGCAGTTAACTGCGCGTGCTCTGCTGCTGGTGGCCCGGGTTCGGATCCCGGGCGCGCACCAACGCACCACTTCTCCGGCCATGGTGAGGCCGCGTCCCACATACAGCAACTAGAAGGATGTGCAACTATGACGCTATCTGCTGGGGCTTTGGGGAGAAAAGGGAAAAAAAGGAGGAGGATTGGCAATAGATGTTAGCTCAGGGCTGATCTTCCTCACAAAAAAAAAAAAGAAGAGTCCTCTCTGACCCTCACTCCACCCCTCCCTCAGCTAGGAACCTTACCCCATCCCTGATCCTCCCCCATTGCCAGCCCCTGAGTGAGGATGTATGTTTTGTGTGTTTCTTTGTAATAAACACAACTACTATTGTAGTAGTTGTTTCATTTAGTCCAGATCTGTGTGTTGGTTCTGGGAGGCCCCAGGCCCCATTCCTGAGCCCCACGTCCACTTAGAGAGATAAGAGAAGCTGGCAAGTGCAGTATTTCCTGAGAGCCTCCTGTGGGCCAGAGGCTATGGGTTAGTCCCCAGAAACAGCTATAGTCCCTGTCCTATACATAATCTTGGGGAAGAATAGGGGGAAAAGGGAGGCCTTGAGAGAGGGCTGCCTGGAAGAAAGGGTGGGATTTGGGTAGGAAGAGACAGGGAAGCATTTCAGGGGGAATGAAGGCTTTGAACAAAAGTTAGGAGGCAGACAAGAGTCTGGGGGTGCTGGCACAGCAAGCAGGCTGGTGGTGGGGTTTGTGTTAGTGTAATGCGTTGAGGCCCAGGGCCAGGGCAGTGGATTGGGGTTAGGCCAGGAAGGCCTGGAGGTGAGGCCACGGAGACTGGGCTGTCTCCAAGGCAGGTGCCACAGGGAGGATTTCTAATGTGATCTATTTATGATGAACAAAGAGCCCCCCTCCCAGGCTGAGGAGACTTCCAGGCCAGGAGACAGTGGCCCAGGTGGGCAGGGGTGGAGCTTCTTTCCATCTCTTGGCCTCTTGGTGAGATTCGCAACCTGCAGACTCTGCCACCGCCAGCAACTCCAAGAGAGCTTTCTGGTGGAACATCTTCTCCTTCCTCTAAGCCCTAGTCAAATGTCCTCACCCCCCAGGAAGCCCCCCTGATTTCCTCCCCACTCTTGGCTTGCATCTCTCTCATAGCAGGAAGGCAACAAAGTGTGGTAGCCACAGGCTCAGGGGTCAGGCAGCCTGGCTTCATTTCCCAGCTCTGCCAATCCCCAGCTGTGTGACCTTGGGCCAGCCACTGAACCTCCCTGAGTCCATTTCATCATCTGTAAAGTGGGTCTAAAATCACCCATCTTATGGGGCCTGCAAAGTGCTTAATACATTGCCTTGCACTTAAAAATGGAAAGTGTATACTCAGTCAGGCTTGTTAATGCTCATCTACTCTGCATTGCCTTTATTCCTGGGCATGCATTTTTATATCTAGGAAGTCAGGATTCAGTGTACAACTGGTGGGCCAGAACCTAAACAGATTGCTGGTGTGGGTTACCATTCATGGCACCTTGGGCTCGAGGAACATGGCTTCGGTGTGCCCACATTCTCCCCTTCTGCTCTCAGGTTTGAATCAGCTGGGCCTGCCTCTCTCCTACTGTATTGGAAGCGCCTCAAAGGCAGGGATGGCATCTGGTCTGTGTCCCTCCGGCATCCAGCACCCAGCACGGGGCCTGGCGAGGCCTCGAATGTCTGCAGGGCCAAGTTCTCAGAGGGACTTGCCCAGTTATTCAGCGTCAAGGAAGCAGGGCCAGGAAAAAACTCCCGGGCACTTGATTCCCTCTGGCATGCTTCAGTACGTTCTCCCGCTGTCCCCAGTCTCACACAGGCCAGGTCTCCAGTGTCCCTGCTGTGAGCCTTGGGCAAATCCATCTCTTCTCTGAGCTGCTATGTTGGAGGGGGCACTTAGGGCTGCAGTGTGTGGCTTTGACACTCCAGGGGCTCTGCCAATGGCTTCCCACAGTTCAAGCCAGGTGGACTGCCTGCTGGGCTTGGAGGAAAGGGCCTCGTCCTGCATAAGATGGCACAAGGCTGGTACCTCCTCAACAGGCCCTGAGGAGGAAGGGGCTCTGGGCTCTGCTCTCTACTTCCCATCTGCTCCTCCCCACGCTCCTGTGTCCTCCCCTATTGTCAGCAGAGCCCCGTACTTGAGGACAGAGAGACAGATACCATGGTCTCTCACCTCAGAGTAAGGGTAATGATTGTTACGTCCGCCCCTAAAAGAAATTAAAATCAGCCTCAGGACTGTAAGGCAGGCTCTGTCTGCATATCAGACAACACAACTCATCTCCTTGTTTATTACCCAAGGTTGAATGAAAGACCCCCATTCTGGGAAATAATTGATTCTACTAATATTGAGCACAAACTATATGTGAACACTGTGGCAGTGCTGAGACTTGCTTTGAGTCCTGTTTCTGGTTTTGGCTGGAGGCTAATGACTTCCCTGATCTGGGGTTCAGTTTTCCCATCTGTGAAATAGGGTAGCATTGGTTCTGCTCACTTTCCAGGGTGCTTATGGGATGTGAGGCCTGGAGGAGACAATGGGTCATATGACAATGTATTCTGAACAGTGTAACACAGGGTCCAGAGTGAGGGGCTGGTATTATTCTTTAAATTCCTTCTGAGAGACCTGAGACCTGGCTTGCACTCACTGGGTGCTCAGTAAATATTAGTGGAAGGGGATGGAGATGTAAGTTTCCTAACTTTTGTGGGCATTGACTTTCCTGAGAATCTGATGGAAACAAGGAGCCTTTCCATGGAAAATGCACGTGGGTAGACATATGGTTTTGCACATAATTTTGAAAGGTTGATGGATCCCTGAGGCCCCAGATCGAAGCACCAGAAGTCCTTTTCAGACAATTTTTGAGCTTGGTGACTATTATCTTGATCTGGGTCTGTCCTTGCAGACTGACCACGGTGGGTGGGGATGGGGTATCTGGAAGGTCGGGGGGCTAAGCGCCAGCTGATGCTGGCTGCTCTAACCCCCTGACCACGCTGGAGACACTCTTCCTTAGCCCTTTTGAGTGGGGTTATTCTGGGCCTGGCCCAGGAGTGCCCATGGCTGTTCCCAGGACATCATGCCTTCGTCTCTGTACATCAGTGGGCAGAGGAGGGCTAGTCCTGAAGCCACGTGGATAGAGCAGACAACTTTTTGCTTACACGCTATATTCGTTGGCTGTGCCTTGGGGAGCAGGAAACTTTCTTCTCTGAGTGGGCTCAGGCACCTCATCTTACTTCTACACTCTGCTACTTCACAGGGAATAGAGGCCATAGGCCTGGCCAGAGCCTGCCTCCACCTCTTCAGGGGGATCCCGGGCCCAGGGAAGCCCCCAGAGTACACCGGTATGGCGAGGACTGAGAGAGGTGTCTAAAAACCCCTTTTGAACCCCCTCTTTTCTCTTTAGGGCTCAAGTTCAGAGGCTGAGGTGGAGGGGACTTGGTCATGGGGCTGCAAGCAGGGGACGGGGGCACAAGGAAAACCCAATTCCCAGGCCTGCCTCTGCACCTCACCTCCGGCTGGGCCTTGGGGCTTAGACCCTGACTGTCTATCTGGGGTCACCAGACATCTTTCTCCAGCCCCCCACCAGTCCTCCAGGAGTTGTTATCCTGAGGTCCTGACCCTGTCCCAGCCCCTGCAACACACACACACACATACACACACACGCACACGCACTTGCACAAGGGCCTGGTGCCTCCCTGTGGGAGCATTAGGTTTATTTCCAGTCAGGCTGAACTCTAAGGGAGATGGGTGGTGCCACCATACACTCTCTGTCCTGCTGGGGAACCTGAGGTGGCACGGTCCAGCAGCCAGAGGATCGGCCTCCTTTTCACAGATTAATGCCAGGGGATCAGGTAGTTGACACGACTGTGGAGAGAAACAGGGGTGAGCTGGGGGCCTCCAGGGTGTCCTGGGGAAAAATGACGCTGTCCTTCTCTAGGCCTTCCCCCAAAACCCACCTTCCTGCCCTCAAGGCTCTGAAAACACATCCTGTCTCTCTATGGCTGGAGAGTCTTCAATGGCTATTTCCTTTTGTACATTTTTGGCTCCTTTGCTTGACGTTCAAGCCCCTTGTCCCGTTTGCTTCATCTTTTCTCCCACTAATCCCCAACCATGCACTGCTTTACTCCTTTTTCAATCATTTAGTGAACCTACTCCGGCAGGCATTATATAGTAGTAAAAAAGCAGAAAGCATTCCCCTGTGTGTGCACAGGGTGGGTGAGAGAAGGCAAGCTTTCCATCAATGATTATAATGCAACAGTCTGCCTGCTGTGAGATACGGATGCACATGTGGTGACCAGCTGGAGGGGTTTGAGCTGGAGGGGAGAGGCAGAGGGTGAGGGAAGGCTTCAGAGAGGAGGGGACATCTGGGCTGGGCTTTAAAGAGTGAAGAGGAGTTTTCCAGGCAGACAAGGAGGGATCATCTAGGAGCTGAAACAGCACAAGCAAAGGTGTGGAGTGCTGGGTTGTGCTGGTGGTTTGGGTCGCACCCAGGAGTCTGGTACTGCTGAAGTGTAGAGAATGTGAAAATGCTTGAATATTTGCACACTCCTGCTGGGAACACTAGCCCCAGCCCTTACCACCTATCCGCATCCTGGAAGGCAGATCCTTGACTCTTTCCATCATGTTTCTTACATGTCAGTTTACTCTTCCGGCCCTTGCTGGCCTCCCAGGTAATCCCCATTCCCTTTGTCCTCCTCTGGGCCAAATCGGGCTGGACATGGACTCCGCTCCCCCCGCCTCCCAGTGGGCTGCGCTTTTGCCTGGCGCGGATCTCTCAGAGGGAGGCAGCTCGCATCCCCCTGACATCACTCAGGAGGGTACCAATCCCTCGGGGCGCTCCTGGTGAGTAGAGCGGGTTCTGAGAAGCGCCTGAGCCCTGGACGCGGCCGGCGGGGGCGTGGCCAGGTGTGGGGCGGGGGCGGGGTCATCCCCCTACCTGTAGCGTGAGCCGAAGCGTCGGAAAGCGTTCCTGTGAAAGAGCGAGGAGGGTGAGCCCGAGGTGGGGAAGGCGACCCTCTCCGAGAACCCCACTCCCACCTCGGGAGGCGCCGTCCCGCCAGAAGGATTACACTGCACCTTCGCCCCACCTTAACGCTCCACGGCGAAAGGGTGGAGTTGCCAGGGCCTGATGACAGGATGCTCCGTTTGGTAGGAATTAAACATTAATTCATTTTGAAATTGCAAATTTCTTGTGTGTATTGGAGCAAGCAATTCTTCCCAGGTCTCACATTTTCAAGGGCCACTAGGTGTGCGCTGGGGGAAAGCGGCCAAGACCCGACCCCACCCTTCCTCCTCCAGGTATGGGGTCCCGGGGCCTGTGGTGTCACTTACAGGGAGTCGAAAGGCAGGGGCTTCTGTCCGTAGCGGTCCAGGCTGGGGTTCTGGTTGAGACAGTACTGGGGCAAGCCAAAGGGATTAGGAGTCTGTGAGCCGGGAGGTCATAGACCCCTGCTCACGCCCCACACAGCGCTCTCTGCGGGAGATCTTGGCCTGGGGACTGGGAGACCCTGCTCTCGGTCTCCTCTTCCCCTCCCCGCCTCCCGCCCCGGGTTAGCCGCTCCTCGCCCCAGACCCCCTACCCCTGGGGCCCCAGGGAAGGGTCAGCGCGCAGCCCTCCCTACCCGCCAGTTCTGGGTCACCTCCGGCTTCAAGTACCGCACTGCGTAGCCGCTGAAACTCTCGACTGTGGAAAGAGCGCCCATCTCGGGCCCCCAGCCCGGCCCGAACCAGCCCCGCCCCCGCCCCATCGGAGCCCCGCCCCTAGATCAAGCCCCGCCCCGCTCTCACCGGAGCCCCTAACAAGCCCCGTCCCCGCCCCTACCGGAGCCCCGCCCCTAGATCGAGCCCGGAACAAGCCCCGCCCCCTCTCTCACCGGAGCCCCGCCCCTAGATCGAGCCCGGAACAAGCCCCGCCCCACACCTACTCCTAGAACCAGTCCCGCCTCCACCGCCCGGCCAGACCACGCCCCGCCTCCAGACCCTGCTCCGCCGGTCCCAGAACCAGCCCCGCCCTCAGCCTATGACGAGTCCAACTTCTCTGTCCCTCAGCCGGCTCAGTCCCGCCCGCTCTAAGTGCCCAGCTGCTCCCTCCCCGGCTTCCCCGCCCTGTCTTTGCCGGAGCCCACCCCCGACGCCCCCCGCCCGCAGTCAGCGCTCCTGGTCCCGGCTCCAGGGACCAGAGGCTCGGCTGTCTCTCCCGCCCTAGGGCATTCCCCGCGCCCGGTAGACTGACCTTTCTTGCTCGGACAGGGCAGCTTGAACTCGCCGGCTGAGGACACGAAGTGGGACCAGTCCTCGATGGCGCGCGTGAAGCAGGGCCAGTCGACGCGGTTGATGCCGGGCGCGATGGGCGCCAGCTTTCCCTCGCGGCACCTGTCGCGGAGCCTCTGGCCGGTCGCTGTGATGTCCTGCCAGGGAGATGGGAGTCAGGGCCGCGGGGGTAGGTGCAAAAGCCTGCAGGACTGACCCAGAACCTGCCCCCCACCCCCAGGCAGGACCTGACTCTTGGCCCATCTGACCCAGGGGGCGGCTGAAGCCCCTGAAGAAGATGGGAAGGGGGCGGGATTCCAAGGCGACAGCTGAGGAAGTGCGCAGAGTAGAGCCCAGAGCTCGAGGAGCTCGGGGCTGGATACAGGCAGGTCCTTCCCGCCTCTCGAGACCCTGAGCAAACCCAGGGCCGGGGGCCACGGACGCTCACCAAGCACTGCAGGGGTTTGTTGGGGACGCCGAGGAGCGTGAAGTAGGCGTTGTCAAAGTCGTCTGAAGGAGGAAGAGAAAGGGAGAAAAGGTGTCTCCTCCACCAGCGGTCAGGGGCCCGCACAGGAGAGGTTTGACCCACAGTGCTTTAAAAGTTTTTAAAAATATTTGACAACTTTTAAAAATCTGAGATAAAGTAGATTTTTACTTAACACGCCCCTTACAACAGAATAAACTCAAAATAGATCAAAGATTTCAATGTAAAAAATGAAACCATAGAAGTACTAGAAGAAAACATGGGTAAATTTCTTTATAACCTTAGGGTGGGGAAGGTCTTACCAACTCTGTTTCAAAATCAAGTAGCCTGAAAGATTGATAAATTTGGCTACATAAAAATAAACTTCTGCATGGCAAAAACAACACCAGAAGTCAAAAGACAAATGGGAAAAAATATTTCCGCTTATTTTACAGATGAAGTGCAATTTCCCTAATATTGAAAGAGTTCCTGGAAATCAAGACCAAAAAAAAAAAAAAAAAGAAGATGCATAGGTAGTTCACACACAAACACAAGAAATACAAATGGCCCCTAAACACATGAAAAGGCACTCAGCCTCATTCATAAGATGAATCCATAATCAAACTGCATTAAGATACCAATTTTCCCTATCAGAATGGAAATAATCCAAAAGTTAGTGCAGTTATGGGAAACAGAGCCATTGCCATACATTGCCAGAGGGGGTATGAATTGATTTGAGCCTCTGGAAAGCAATTGGCATTATCTATCAGAATTATAAATACGCAGACCTTTTGACCCCACAGTTGTATTTCTGGGAATTTATCCCACTTCACAGCTGCACAACTGGAAATGATGTGAGTAGAAGGTTTACCCACTTCAGCATTGTTTATAATAGAAAATGACTGAAAACAACTCAAGTGTCTGTCTTTAAAGGGCTGGTTAATAACCTACGATACACCCTCACTGTGCAGCTATTCAAAATAAATAGAGGAAGTTCTCCATACAAGACCTCCAAGAGGCAGAAGAGTGTATGCTGCATGCTACCTTTTGCTTTAAAGCCTAAAATTGAGACAGTTGGAGGCAGAGAAGAATACACATTCAGGTCACCACCTTAACCAAGTCATCAAACAGCATCACTGATCATGGGATAATGACCTTCTGTGCCTCCTGAAGCATTACGGCAAAGACAGCATCTGTCACCTGTGGAAGATTCTAGCCAGCAATGTTTTACCTGGGTAATCAAGCCTCTATACCCAGCTTCTAGTTTGCAGAAAATAGATTATCAAGGTAAACAACACCATAAGGAGACAATGGCTCAAGTTCACAATGTAGGACTGTCTACAACACAACTGTTTTGGACTCTTTAAAAAGTCAGTATTACGAGGGAAAAATGGAAAGTAGGTGGACTGTTCTAGACTAAGACTAAAGAGACATAACAACCAATTGCAATGCACAATCCTAGATTGAATCCTGGTTCCAAAAATTTTTTTTAAAGCTATAAAAGACATCTGTGGTGGTAATTGGGGACATTTTAATATGGACTGAATATTAGAAATCAGGGTATTATTGTTCACTTCCCTAGACGTGATAATGGTGTTGTGTCATGTAGGAGGTTGTTCTTTTCATTGGGAGCTGCTTGCCAAAGTGTGTGTGTGTGTGTGTGCGCGCGCGCGCGAGAGAGAGAGAGAGAGAGAGAGAGAGAGAGAGAGAGAGAGAGATCAAATATGGTAAAACATTCATTGGAGTGGGTGGAAGGTAATGGGTGTTCATAGTGTTATTTCAACTTTTCTCCGTGTTTGCATATGTTCACAATAAAACGTTGGGGAGTAAAAGAATAAATGTTCGTCTGTGCCTTAAACAATGGTAGAATACCTTAGAAACTAAGAATGGTTACCTGTAAGTGGGGGGAGGAGAGTGAGACTTGTTAAAATGTACACTTTTACAGCATTTTGAATTTTGAACTTGTGACTTTCACTTTTATTAAAAGCTTATACTTGCAATAAAAACATATATCTAAATCAAGAGCTTTCCTTAAAAATCTAGATTCCTGTCTTCTCTTGGAAGCTCAGATAGCTGTGCTGACGCTTCCCACATGGCACAGTCTGTGGGGCCCCAGAAGCTGCTCCCCTTTAGAGGACGCCTGTTGGGGCTTCACTTCACTTTCCCTCCTCCCTCCTCACTGCTTCCCCACCCACTTCCTGTATTTGTGTTTCCTGTCTTGGCCCTGCAGGGGTCTGTGTGGGACTTCTGGAGATCTCCATGCAGTCTCCGACAGGCTTGCCCCACCTGTCACCTAAGCTGGAACCTGGGTATGGTCCTAGACTCCCCCTCCAACACCCAGTACCCAGCCCTGTTGCTTTATCTCCTAAATACCTTCTCAAAACCTCCCCCGTGGTCTCACTCCTTCCTGAAGACTGTGGTCCGTCCCAGTGTCCTAAACATCCCCCCATCATCCACCTCTAATCCCTCTGGGCCTCCCGCCCCTACATGCCAGAATGCTCAGACCTCTTTTCTGCTTAAAGTCTTTCAGAGGTTCCTCTTTCCCTCCTGGGAAAGTCCAGACCCCTGAACTTAGCCACAGGACACTTCCTGAGCTGTGCCCTCATCCCCAGCCACAGCTCCTGCTGCCCCCACAAACATTTTCCTCCAGACCAACCAAACCTCTCAAGGTCACCCAACACCTCAGGTAGATTTCCCCTCTAGGCCTCTACGCATGCTATTTCCTCTAGCTGGAACGCCCTTTGTTTCCCTGCAGACCCAGTGCAGTGTCAGGCACGAAGCAGGTGCCTCACAGGTGGGCTGAAAGGAACGTGTACGTCTGCGTGGCACCCCTACCTCCACACACAAGCTTCTCAGTCGACGAAGGGTCATTGCCTGGCCCATGTGGCCCTGTCACCCCAAAGGCTCACATGTCTCCTGTCATTCATGGGAGGGGTCAGCAGGGTCTTTCTCTGCCTTTTCCAGTGGAAAGATGATTGGGCAGAAGTTGTTATTATTGCTATTACTATTATTTCTCCTACTGCAACTGCTGACTTCTGCAAAGGTCTCTATCCATTAATGATAATAACAACAACATTATTGTTGACCATATATTAAGTGCCAGGCACCACTATAGGTGCTTTTCATGCCTTGCCTCATTTTAATCGCATGATAGCCTTGTGACCCATTTTAGTGACAGGGAAACAGAGGCTCAGACCTTGTGAAGTTTCCTGGACAGGGAGGAACCAAGCTGGGACTCGCCCCTTTAACCCTTTCATCTGCCACTCATGGCTTTCCCCTCCAAGGTCTCTCTCTCGAAACCATCCACTCCTTCCCCAAAAGCCCAGAGGGCCTGGTGCCAGTTCAGCCGGCTGGCCTGACCTTTGCAGCAGTAGGTGGTGGACTGGCAGTGCTCGTCGGGAAGGCAGGCCCTGACGGAGTCCATGTCCATGCGGCGCAGGCTGGGCAGGGCCGGGTGGTACAGCTGCTGCTTCACGCCGGCCAGCTGGTTGCGCCGCCGCTCGATGGGGAGCAGGATGGCCGGGGACGCGTACACGTGGGTGAAGCCGTCCTCCCAGGGCACCAGGTCGATGATGCGGGCCATTGCTGGGGAGCAGAGGGTGCGAAGGGGCTCACCGTGGGCTCGGGCCAGCTAGACACCCTTCTGTGTGGGAACAGAACCCTAGCCAGTGCTGATTCCTCTGCTCGTCCAACACCTACTGTGCTCCAGGAGCAGGTGGTTATCTGGGACATTCAGACAGTCACACACACACACACACACACACGCACACACACACGGGATGTGCTGAGGGCTCTGACAGAGGTCAGTACAGAGTGTGGGTGTCTGCGGAGGCTGGGGTTGGGGCATTCAGGGAATGATCTAAAAGAGGTGGCATTTGTGTCTATTCTCAAATAACGAGCAGGAAGCAGCAGTGGCAAGTGGGTTCAGAATTTAGCTCAGAATGCCTCTGGGTAACTCATTATGGACTTTTGGCCTTAGCTAAGTTATCTGGCATTTACTCAAAATCCTACAGGGAGACATAGAAAAGTTTTAAATAAGGGGAGAGACGTGATAGATATGAACTAAAAGGACATTGCTGGCTACCCAGGGCCTCCCTTTAAAAAGCAGATATTCCCAGAGCCTTTCAGTCATTTAAACTGTAGTGAGAATTTGTTGACTCAGCTTGCTTTCTTCCTGATGGCAGTTAGAGGCAAGAGATGGAGGTGGGAGGTAGGTGGGCAGGAGGAGAGAGGACCTTGGACCGTGGAGGAGTGGGGAGAGGACATGGTGACAGGCATGGGGAAGCTGCCTCCCGGGATGGGTCTGCGTGGAAGTGTAGCCACCCACAGTGGCTACCTCATCTGCAGGGCGCAGGCCCCAGGTGCACAGGCTTATAAGGATCTTCTGCTTTTCCGACTGCTCAGCGCGGAGAAGAGGCAGGGAGATGGGCCGGGCCCCAGCGCCTTATGAGACAGTAGGAGAATAAAGGAACATTCTGCAGAGACAATGCCCATTGCAGCCTGATTGTGAGGGCACCCACTCCTCGGCAACCCTGGCAACTGTGGGCTCTGAGGAGAAGAGCCTGCTGCCAGAGGTCCTGTGCACTGGCCCCCGTTTCAGCCTTCCTGAAGGTTGCTGTCTCCTGGGCCTCAGCACAGGCCGGGCGTGTTGGGAAACATCAGACAGGGAGCCGGGGCTCTCTGGGGGTAGCCATGCTACGGCTGGCCAGGGCAGGCTGTGTGACCCCGGACTAGTTACTGTCTCTCTCTGGGCCTCAAAGCTCCTATCTGTGTTAGGTAAGGGCCCTAGGCCCTGCCATGAGGGGTGTCTGTGAGCTGGGAGGGCCCTCCCCTCCCTGTAAAACTCAGGGAAGGGGGCACTGCCCTGCCTGCCAGCCCTTGGGTCTCCAGGGGTGGAGATTAGCTGCCGCCAGTATCCAGGGTCAGCCTAAAGGGATCAGAGAGAGTGGTGGCCTCAGCAGGACAGGGATTAACAGGTGATAGTCCACCCCAGCCCCCTGCAGCCTGCAGCCTCCCTCCCTCCCTCCCTCCTTCCCAGAAAGGTGAGGTCATGAGTGTCTAAGCTCAGCACCCCAAAGTCTGGGGCCTGCCCACCACCCTGGACACAACCATTGGAGATGGACCTCAGAGGTGAGGAAACCCTGGGGAGAGGTTAACTTATTTGCATACATTAGCATGTGCTTTGCATATACCTGCCCAGGTGCTGCGCCTGATGGGTCCTGGGACCCTTATGTGATTCATGTAGGATTTGGCTCTCTGGTTGCTTCTCCTCCAGTGCTCCCTCCAGCCCCCAGAGCAGCATCCACACGTCCCACCTCTCACAGAAAACTTGCCCAGAGTTGACTCGATTCACCACCCCACCCCCAATTCATTTTTAAACTCTTTTAAAGCTATAAAGTATAAAGTGCATAAATATATAATAGTAACTAATAACGTACAAAGTGAGACCCCATGTGACTACTACTCAGATAAGACACGGGGTTCTACTTTGCCAAAGAGTTTAGCAGTTTCTTAAAACGTGAAACATAAATTTACCATACGACCCAGCAATTCCACTCCTGGGAATCTTCCCAAGAGAAATGAAAGTGTATGTCCACATGAAGACTAGCATGCTAATGTTCATGGCAGCATTACTTATAATAGCCTAAAAGTGGAAACAAACCCAGTGTCCATTGACTAGTGGATAAATAAACAGACTGTGGTATATCTATGCCATGGAAGACTCGGGAATTAAAAAGAAATGAAGTACTGATGCATGCTACAATGTGGATGATCCTCAAAAACATTATGCTAAATGAAAGAAATCAGACACAAAAACCCCTCACATAGTATATGATCCATTTTTATAAAATGTCCAGAAAAGGCAAATCTTTAGAGACAGAAAGCAGATTAGTGGTTGCCTGCGGCTGGGGGCGGGAGTGGGGAGGGACTCTAGTGAGGGATCTTGTTGGGGTGATGGAAATGTTCTAAAACTAAGATGCTGCTGGTTACATAGCTCAGTCAATTTACTAAAAATCATTTTACACTTAAAACGGGTGAATTTTACACCATATAAATTATACTTCAATAAAGTTGTTTTAAAAATTTGATGCCAGCTAAATAAAGCAAGAAATAGGCCCCTGCCAGCCCCTAAAAGGCTCCACGTACCCCTTCCCAGTCCCAAATCCCAACCCCCTGCCAGAGGGAACCACCCTCCTACCCCACAGTATAACCACTGCTTTCTTCATAGCTTTCCTACCTATGTTTGCAACCACAGACAAGGCAGGCTAATTTTGCCCTTTTTGAACTTTGTATACTTGGATCATTGGGGTCTTTCTCTCCATATATGTGCACACGAGAGTCATCCAAACTGGTGTGTGGCTGAGGTTTGTTCGTTTTCCTGACCCCAGAGCCCATTACTCTTCACCCCGGCCCATCTGACTTAGCCCACTCCCCAGGGGACCCACTGCCTCCAGGTTGCACAAGCCAGGGGCACAGGTCAAGCCCAGCTCACACAGTGGTCCCACCCACTCCTCCCCTAACACACTCATTCGTCTCTGGGAGCAGCACCCTCTTCTTCACTCTCCTCCTCCCTCCCTAGCGGCTCTCTCAGTCTCCTTCACTAGCTCCTCCTCCTTTTCCCAACCTCGGAATGTGCCAGAGGGTTCCAGGTGCCATCTTTGGTCCTCCTCTCTTTAATTAGGTTAGATTTCCCAGGTGATTTCAATCAGTCTTGTGGCTTTAAGCATCATCTACAAGCTGAGCTGATGCCTCCAAAATGTTTCCAGTCCACCTCTCCCCAGGCTCCAGACACACACACACACACACACACCCTGCACATTTCCACTTGGATGTCTCTCAGGCATCTTAACAAAGTAGAGTCCATGATTTCCCCCACAAAGCTCTTCCTCTCACCCACCCCCAACCCCGGGCTTCCTCTTTTCGGTAAATGGCACCACCTGCCACCCAGTTGCCCAAGCTGAGCACCCTCAACACCTCCCTTTTCCTTTCCCTCCCCTTTCTCTCTCTGTCTACTGCCACCCGCCTAGTGGAAGCCCCGTTGTCTCTGCACTGGCCTCCGTCAAGCCAGAGGCAAGGGGGGAATACCACAGAGGACACAGGCCACCGCTGCGGAAGAGCTCACTGTTCACTGAGCTCTGCCATTGGTGCTGGGCCCTGCTGGCAGTAGGAACATTCTCCCACACCAGTTGCCTTGGGGGATTTGATATCAGAGGTCTGGCACAGGAAGGAGAGCCCAGGGGTCATCAACCACAAATTGGTTTGTCCGTTTGCAGCCTCCTGACCCGTTTCCTGCCTCCACAGCTGCCCTCTACACAGCAGCCGCGCAGATCGTGTCTGCCTCCTGTTCAAAGCCATCCCGGGCTTCCACGGTCCGTCAACTAAAACACAAACTCCTTACCACGACCTACAGGCCTACTGATCTGGCTCCTCCCACCTCTGGACCTCATCTCCGCCACTCTCCCCCACACTCACTAAGCCCCTGCTCTGTCAGGTCTCAGGTCCAGCCCCCTCTCTGTTCCTCAGAGGCATCAAACTCCTTCCACCCTCAGGACCTTTACCCTGGCAGCGTCCTCTGCCTAGACTACTGGTCACTCAGATCTTGCTCTTCAAGTCTTAGCTCCAATATTGACCTCTTCATAGAGGCCGGCCTACCCCTTTCTCCCCACCACCGCTCACACGTCTCTGCCCTCTGTTTCTCTCATGGCGCTCAGCGTAGTTTGCAATAGTTCTTTATTCATCATTAATCTTTTTTATTTCTGCCTCCTCCAGTGGCATGTAAGCTCCATGAGGGCAGCTCCTATGCCTGGCTCGCTCAGTGTGCTCAAGCTGGCACACTGCTGGGCACAGAGGAAGAGCTTGGGAAATGTTGTAGACGATTAGGTCAAGTCCCTGCCCCTTTGCTGAACAGTCCACTACCCCACCCCTACCCAAGTCCAGTCACCTCACTGAGCCCCTCTTCACTGGGCCTTTGTCCCTCGTGCCCTCTTCCCTGAGATCTCTGTCTCCCCTCCAGAGTCTGACCTCAGTTCAGGGGCCGGCTCACACACAGTCAGTCATCTGTCAGTCTTTGGATCCTTCCTAAAAGCCCAGCCCTGGGACCACGGCTGTTCTGGCAGAGTTCAAGGCTGCTGAGACCCCGCCCAACCTGCTGAAGACTCTGGGCTAGAGAGAATCTGTTTGAGTCCCAGCATTGGGGCTGGAGAGCTGGGGTGTGCCTCCTGCCACTCTGCCCGAGAGCTGACGAGGCCCTGCCACCTCGAGGAGTCTCCCAGAACCACGTGGGGACTCCAAGCTGTTATTCTCCCAGCAGCCACTCCGCGGGGAGCTGGACCCCTGGTAGCTGGGCAGGTTCCTAAGCGACCCATGGTGCCCCAAACATGGGCCACGTGGAGCTCTTTCCCTGGGGCCCAGATCCCTGCTGGCCCCTGGAGGTTGCTGCTGGCTCCCTGAGCATCAACCTCCTCTCTTCCACCGCCACCTCCCCACCCGTTCTGCACCTGCTAATCCTTTGCACACGTCCCAGCTGCCGCCGATTAATCCTCTGTGTCTGAGAGGCCAGCTGCGAGTGGCAGGGAGAAGGCAATTCCTGGCTGGTGGTCAGCATCCAAGCAGGTAACTCAGGGTGAGGTGGGGGCTTGGTGGGACCCTGATGGGATCCCCATGCTCTCCTTCTAGCAAGGCATTTAGACATGGAGAACTGGGCAAGGCTGGGAAACCTGGGGCTTCCCTCTCCCCCTGTGGGCTCAAATCTTATTGTGCATCAGAATCTTCAGGGCAGCTTGTGAAATGCAGATTCCAGGTCCCTCTAGGGGTTTTGAGGGGCCTAGGAATCTGTATGTTCACCAGTCTCCCAGAAGATTCTGAAAAGGCTGGTGGTCCAAGCTCCATAGTTGCCCTGGGCTGCCCCCCTCAGATCCCCCTTCCCGCCTGAGCCTCCCTCAATGTGGAGTCAGCAGGGACATGGCAAAAAGATGGGAGGGACCTGTAAATGTCTCCATCTAGGAGGAAACGGCTGGATCTAGGAGAAGAAGAAAATTTGGTAGCAGGGAAGGCTTCCCTAGTCATTTCCAGAAAGTTCAGAGACACAAGCCAGAGTGGCTGACGGCTGGGAAAGGGTTTGTAGGACTGGCCTGCAGAAGAAGCCAACCCTGGGCAAACATTAGCACCACGGGGGGTAGATGTGGGACTTGTGGAGTCAGACAGACCTGAGTGCAGACTCGGCTTGGCCACTTGCTGGCTGTGTCACTTTGGGCAAGTCTATTGACCTCTCTGTGCCTCCATTTCCTCAGCTGCAAAGTGGTGATGCAAACTTGTTTTACTGGTGGTGAGAATGAGGACGAGTGCGATCATGGGTGCGGAGCACTTAGCTCAGAGGGGGCTGACGGGGCTGCCTGTGGCTGGCCGGGGTCGGCAGAATCTGCCATCCTAAACGTGTGCCCTTGGGCTCTACCGACCTTGGTAATGGCTGTGTCTACACCCCCCACCCAACAGGGAAATGGAAGACCAGAGGGGTCATCTCTGGCCCAAGTTCACCTTTTTGGAGGCTGAGCCAGGGATCTGACTCCGCACCCAGATCCCTGTCCCCCACACAGCCTGTCATAGGAGGAGTTGGGCTGCTGAGGCCAAGGCAGGGACAGAGTCAGAGCTGTGAGTAGAAGGGCAGGCAGCACGGCCAGGGGCTGCGGGGAGCTGGGCATGGGGGCAGGGATCCTGGGCCCCGGGCCTGCCCTTTTCAGCCTGGGGCCGGGGTCCCTGGCAGAGGAGGGATGGAGAAGCACTCTACCAATGCCTTAGCTGCCTGTGGCTGGGGAGTGGGTGGGGGACACAGTGTGTTGGGCATTGCATCAGACGGGCCCCTTTAGGGCTGGGAGTTTGCGTACACTGACCTGTGTGTGCCTGCTGGGCCAGGCCATCCCACAGGGATTTGATCATACGGTCAGGGGCTCCCCATTCACAGAAGATAAATGATGCCAGAAACTGAACCCATATATGGTAGGGCTGAAATATCACAGTAAACCACGAAAAAGGGGTTTAACTGTCATTTTATCTTAAAAAAAAATTTTTTTTTTGTGAGGAGATCAGCCCTGTGCTAACATCTGCCAATCCTCCTCTTTTTTTGCTGAGGAAGACTGGCCCTGGGCTAACATCCATGCCCATCGTCCTCCACTTTATATGGGACGCCGCCACAGCATGGCTAGCCAAGCAGTGCGTTGGTGTGCTCCCAGGATCCGAACTGGCGAACCCTGGGCCGCTGCAGTGGAGCGTGCACTTACCCACTTGCGCCACCGGGCCGGCCCCTTAAAATTTTTTAATCATAAAAATAGGTTAATTTTATCTTATACTAAACAAAACAGATTTTCCATTCATATGTTACTTATGATGTATTTTTAAAAATGTATAATGGGGTTATGCTGAACATGATATTCCACAACAAGCATTTTTGCTTGACACCAAATAATAGTCACAGCCAACATTTATTAAGCTCTCAGGGTGTGTCAGTCACTGTTCTTATCAGTTTATTTTTTCCTCACCATCACCCCCATGAGGTAGGTACTATTAATATCCCCATTTAACAGAAAAGCAAACTGAGGCATGGAAAGTTTAACTGATTTGCTTGTGACTGGAGTCTAGAGCAAGTACATCTTTCCATGTTAGTTCAAATAGATCTACTTTTTTTTAATGGTTCCATAATATTCCATTATCGGGTGTCTTGTAGTTTATTTAATATGTGCCCCTCTTACAAATGAACATTTAGGTACTTTGCAATAACCAGTCTCCTATTGATGTCTGTTTGGCTGTTTTTCATCTTTTGCTATAACACCGTTGTGACCAACCTCTTTATATGCATATGTTCGTGGGCTTGAGTATTTCTAGAAGGCATAACTGGAGGTATAATTGCAAAAATATATATTTTTTAATTTTATTTATTTTTTTCCCCCAAAGCCCCAGTAGATAGTTGTACGTCATAGCTGCACATCCTTCTAGTTGCTGTATGTGGGACGCGGCCTCAGCATGGCCGGAGAAGCGGCGTGTCGGTGCGCGCCCGGATCCGAACCCTGGCCGCCAGCAGCGGAGCGCGCGCACTTAACCGCCAAGCCACGGGGCCGGCCGTGCAAAAATATTTTTAAAGATGATGAGAGAAAAGGGAAATATGTAACCCACAAAAGTGACCCCCAAATGGTGGGAACAACTGTGAGCACTCTGTGGAGGCCTAAGGATTCTGCCCCTTACAGGTGCCAGGATGTTGGGCTGGATCCAGAAGGTGCTGCCTCAGCCCCCAGCGACCCCTCAGAAGACCAAGATGGAGCAGGAGGAGGGGGGAGACCCACAGTCAGAGCTGGAGCTAGAGACGGGGCTAGAACCAGAGCCGGAGCCTGAAACGGCCCCTGAGGAGGCTGAGCTAGGGGATGAGTCTCTGGTAAGAGGCAAGGGTGAAGAAGGGCATCCTAGTCTTGCTGCTCAGGGAAGTCCCAGCTTGGGTCAGCTGCCCCCCATGGACCTTCCACAACGGAGAAATTTGGAGCCAGAAGAAAACGCAGATATCACTTGGTTCTGTAAAAGGCTGGATAGTAAATATTTCAGGCTTTGTGAGTCGTGCCGTCTCTGTTAATTACTCAACTCTGTCACTGTGATATGAAAATAGCCATAGACGATACATAAATGAAAGGGGATGGTTGTGTTCCAGTAAAACTTTATTTACAAAAAGAAGCAGCAGGCTGGATTTGGCCCACTGGCCATTGATGCCAACTTGTAGAGTCTAGAACAGAGCTACTCAAAGTAGCCAGTCACTGAACTGTTTGTCACCAGCCCAGGATGAGATTAGGAACTTCCCAGAATGTGAATCTACAATGTAACCAAGCATACTGCTTACTTTGGTTGGTATTTGTTTTGTAGTAAGACTTTCTCGATGAAGGAAGCAGTGTGTCGATATACATTCTGGGGCAAACTGCTTATTCATTGTAGGCCTGATGCTGGCTCATGGGCCACACTTTGAGTGGCATTGCTCTGGAACTTTCCTTTGAGCACATCAAAACTTGCCAGCTCTGCATCTTATTCATTCAGGAGCTTGATGACAACTAATTCAAAAGTTCGATTCAACAGATTTGATTTAGCTTTAAGTGATGCCAGGCCTGTGCACAGTGCTGGGAGCATAATGATGAATAAGGCATTGCCCCTGGGGATCAGCAGACGAGTCTCAGGCAGGTCTCCTTCTACCAGGAGACAGAGGTGATGAGGAAATGTGGTGAGCTCCAATGGTGGCCTCAGCTCAACCCCTCTGGGAGGGCCAAATAAGACTGAGAACTGTGGGTGCTCAGAGGAGGGAGAGAATCGTCTTAACTTTGGAGATTGGGAGCTGGTGGGGGAGTGCTTCCCAGGCACAGTGGGCTGGGCTGAGTTGTAACTGGAGGAGATGAAGAGGTGGGGCATTCCTGGCAGAGGAAAGGCTGTTTCTGGGTGGTGCAGAGCGTGTTTAGGAAACAGTGAGCTGCCCAGACATAGCATTTGTGTGCACGTGTGTTTTCGTGTGTGCCTTGTGTCTGTAGTGGTATGTCTATGCACACACGTGTGACAGCAAGTCAAGCGTACACAAACACACGTGGGTGTTGACATGTGTGGGTATGCACGTGTATACGCATATATGTTGTGTGTATGCACATGCATTAGTGTGTCTGTAGTTCTGTGTGCATGTGGGTGTGCTGGTGTGTATAAATGTGTGTATGTGCACATGTTTCTGAGTCTGTGATTGTATTCATGTGTTTGTGCACATATGCCCATGTTTGTATATCTGTGCATGTATGTGTGTATGGACATAGTTGTATGTGCGTGCATGTTTATATATACACATATTTTGTGCATCTGTGCATGGATCTCGTATATGTGTTCAGTTGCAGAACTTTATGTGTTTGTGCATGAATACATGCACATGTATGTGCACATGCACACATTTGTGTGTCTGTGCAGTGTGTTTATCTATGTGTGTGTTTGATTGTGTTGATGCACATATGAAATGATGTGTTCATGAGTACATGCTTGTGTATCAGTGCAAGTGTGCATGCGTACTGTGTATATGCCTGTGTGTATGTGACTGAGCACATATATGTGTGTATATATAATATCCGTGTCTGTGTACGTCTGCAAATGTATGTGCATGCATATGCACATGTTTGTGTATCTGTACACGTGCAGGCATTTGCATGTGTGTGCATCTGCATGCATGCACATGTGTATATGCACATGTTTGCATGTGCCCTATACATACTCGCAAATCTATATGCATATGTGCTTTGTGTCTTGCAAGTACACATGTATCTGTGGGCAGATGCACTTATTTTGTGTCTGCGCATGTATGCAGGTGTGTATACACAAGTGTCTGTGTGTCATTGTGTGTATACATGTGCGCTCATGTATGTATGTGTCTGTACATGTGAGAGCCTACACGTGTTCGTGTGTCTGTATGCATGTGCATGTTTGTACATGCACATATGTGCACGTAGCAGCAGTAGGTGCATCTGCAGAGGTGAGAGGCAGGTGGCGGAGGCTGAATGCTGTCCAGCTGCCAGAGGGGAATGGGAATTTTGGCCCAGCAGGAGAGGGAGAGCTGTGCTGGGCACTGGGTGAGGGGTGGGCTCCTCTCACCTCCCTCTTCCCCTCAGCTTGCTCCAAGGCTTCATAACTCTCTCTAACATTCTATTCTCAGGCCAGTGAGGTGGGGGATGTGATAGGCCTGGGGGCCACCTTTCGGGAGGGGTAGGAGGGCCCAGCCCTGGATGAGGGCCCCTGGGGCTGGGAGGATTTACAGAGACGATTGTGAGAACAGAGTTGTTTGGTCCTGTGGGGGGTGGAGGGGTCCCTTGTGGGTGGGTCAGGGGCTGACCATGCCTGAACCAGGCTGGTCTCACTGAGGGCTTACATGGTCCTGTTTGAACCCTCCAGGCACCTGAGGAGCCATCCAAGGGGCAGGAAGTGGCTGTGGCAGACCCTAGCCCTCAGGGTGAGTGCTGGAAGCCTAGCCGGCAGGGCCAGGAGCTGGGGAGGGGCTGCTTTCTCCCCATAGGCGAGGGGAAAGGCTGGCAGGCCCACTTCATAGGTGAAGAAACTGAGGCTCAGAGAAGCTCAGAGTGGGCTCCTGGGGACTTTTTAGCTGAGCTGAGCTGGAACCCTGGCCTTCTGACCCCCTTGGGGTCCTCCCCTCTCCCCTGCCTCCAACTTAATCTCCGCAGCAGGGTAGAAAGGGGACTCTTTGAGGTTCCAGATCTAAGGTATGAGGGATCTTTTCCAGAAACCCAGGAGGCTGCCCCTGCTCTGCCCACGTCCCTCCAGGGCCAGGTTGCTGTGGTTGCCGAAGTGAACAGGTACCACACCACCCTCCCCTCTCCTCAGGACCAAACTCCTCCCCAAGCTAGGAAGCCACTGCGGGGTGGGGACGGGCACTGCTCCCAGGTCCGTGGGCATTCCCAGACCAAGGCCCAGAGCATCTTGGGAATTGGCTGAAGGGATCCTCGGGCAGAGGATGGGGGTCTCCTGGGCCAAAGGGCCAATGTGACCAAGAGAAACGGAGGGTGGGGGCCAGTGGTTTCTCAGTGATCGGGTGAAATGCAGGTCTAGTGTGGCCAGAGCTTCTAATTTTCCCACAAAGCCAGAAATCCAGACTTTTACATGAAACCTCTCAGTTAGCTCAAACATTTTGGGCCATTGGTGCGTGTCTAAGCGAGCATGTCTGCGGGGTCCGGCGTCAGGCAGTGAGTCTGTGACTCATAGTTAGGCTGACCAGCCTCAGTCACAAGGAGACACCCCACAGGAAACCCTCAACCTTTCTGGAGCACAAGACATGTGCCAAGTGCAGGACAGGAACCCCCTGGAGCCCGGCTAAGGGGGAGGCAGGATGACAGAGAGAACTTGGCTGCTGAACTGAGCATCTGATGGGGGTGGGCTCGGGTTGGCACCGGACGTGCCTGGCCTCACCAAGGGTTGGCGTCCCCCATTTTCCAGAGAGGCTCAGGGGGGATGTCTGAAGTCTCACAGTGGGGAGACAGAGGTTTAGGATTCAAACCTAGTTCTTTAGGAGGTAGTGGACTGCCACTCTGACCAGGGAGGGGCTGGGGAGGTGAGGGCAGCCGGTGTCTCTGTCCCTCGCAGTCCCAGCGGCAGGGTGCTGACCTGGCTCAGGAAGGGCGTGGAGAAGGTGGTCCCGCAGCCAGTCAACAGTGGCGGGCCAGCCCAGAACACTGCTGCTGGCGTGGAGGGCCCGACTCAGGTACTGCTGGGCCAGGAGCTGAGGCGGGTCGGATGAGGAAGGGTCGGGTGGGGGCCAGTGCCCGGGCTCTCTGCCCACGTCTGTCTGTCTGTCCTGGCAGGTGGGAGCACAGATCCTGGGGCACTGCAGCGCTGGGGGCTCAGGTAAGGCCGGGAAGCAGGATGGCTTTACAGCGGTGGGAGCGAGGAGCTGTTGGGATGGGCCCTGCCCTGGGGAGAGTCCCCGGGGCCAGAGCTTCTCATCTGACGGGCCCCGGGTCTGAACCTGGGCTTGAGTCGGGCTGGCCGGAGTGGGGGGTGGGGGGCCTCTGGACTGGCCTCTTGCTGCTCACCACCTTCCTTTCTTCTGCAGATGGACCCAATGAAGCCCCCAGGGCCCAGGAAACCGGGTGAGTGCCCGTCCTGAGCACTGGTTTGGGAGCCCCTGAACCTCATCTGTAGTGTGTGTGGTGGGGGAGCAGCATGCCCAGAGCCCAGGGTCTTGGGTTCAGGAGCAGAGTCTACCACCACCTTGGTGTGTGACCTTGAATTTGCCTCTTGTCTCTTCCGGACCTCACTTTTCTCATCCACAAGATGGGGATGATGGGCCCTGTGATGCCCACAGTTTGCTGTGCTAATTATTGGGAGATCCCCAGTTGGGACCACCTTCTGAGGACAGGGAGGAGGCAGGATGAGATCCTCACAGGTGGGCATCATGTGGGTGGGCACCATGTGGAGCCCGGAGCAGCGCCAGGGCCACTGTGGGCGACCTTGGGGCGCCCAGGTTGGCCTCACAGTTGGCATCAGCTTTGGACTTCTCAGAGCTGCCTTGTCATCATGGGTGGCAGGCTGGGGGGACTCTGTGACAAACGGGGGAGCCCCTGTCTTTCTCCAGGGAGGGGCCTTGCTTGGCTCCAAATGCCTCTGCCCTGCAGGAGTGCGGGCCCCTGTGGCCGGATCCTCCAGTTTTTCAAGAGAAGCTAGAAATGTAGGCTTTTATGTAAAACCCTTAATTTTTAGATGTTGCTAACTAATTGAAAAGTTTTCAAAAACATTGTGGGCCCCCAAAAGAATCCTGAAGCCTCCAGTTTGCAATCCCTGCCAGAAATCCAGAGTCTCGCATTCATCTCCATTTGCTCATTCATTCCTTCCTTCCTTCATTCACTCATTAGACTGTCGGGTCCTTGAGCGCAGGGACTTTGTCTTGGTCACTGCTGGACCCCTGGCGCCCAGCACAGTGCCTGCCACAGGGAGGGGACTCAGCGCAGAAGGGAGGAACAAATGGATGAATTGATGAATTTATACAATCACACACTCCATTCATTCATTCATTGCTCCAGCTCGCTCCCCTCGAGGCTGTCCAGGTCATGGGTCCCCAGGGCCACTCTGCTGACTTTGGGACCAGTAAAGTGATTTAGGAAGAAGGCACCCAGAGGACATGCCAGCTTTCTTTGGGGCCATACCCAGGGGGGTAGGTTCCCCGGGGAGCATGGAGCTTCCCTGAAGACAGAAGGGCTGCCTGGAGGCCATGTGGATCTGGGACCCAATGTTTGCCCCCGGACAGCTGCGTAATTGCAGGGCCCAGCGCAAAATGAAGATGCAGGACTCCTTTAAAAAAACTATTAAGAATTTAACACTGTGACAACAGAGCATCAAATTAGAAAAGGGGCCCTTCTAAGTGTGGGGCCCTGCACAGGTCACATACCCATGAAGACAGACCTCTCTGTCCCAGTCACAGCGGAATGCCCCTGCTGCTGCATTCAGGTCCCCAGGTGCCCCCGCTCCTCACCTGCTGCCCAGGAGGCCAAGGCTGGGCCTGTTGTTCCAGGAGCCTGCTCCAGCCCTGGGTCAGAACTTGAGGTTGGTGGAAGTTTCCCCCGCCACCTGGGGCCCTTCGAGAGGACCCAGCACAAGGACCCCACTGTGCAGAAGGGGAGCCGAGGGTGAGCAAGGGCTGGTGGAGGCCCGGGACCCCAGCAGGCAGTCAGGACAGTGTGGCTGGCCCACTCCTTCAGGCCGCTCGGCTGACCACCAGCCCCCCCTGCAGGCCCAGGCCCTGGCTGCTCAGGTGGTTCGAGCAGAATCTGGACAGAGTACTGCCTCAGCCCCCGAAAACCTCCGAGGTAAGTTGAGGAAAAGGGGGAGCAGGCAGCTGACCACCTGGGAGGGTTTCTCGGGCCCCAGGAAGAGCCTGCCTACACCAGCACGCTATCCCCACCCCCCGGGACCCACGGAGGGGGTGCTCTCCTCCCCGGAGGGTCCGTGATGGGGGAGGAGTGACTGCAAGAGGGGCAGAGGGGTTCGGGAGAGGGATGGCCCAGGGCCCGGCTGGCCGGGGTAGGGGTGCACAGGCTCACTTTGCTCCCTGACCCCACTCCCTGTTTATGATCCAGGGCTGGAGAGATGAGCCTGCGGATGCCGCCTTGGGCCCAGGTACAAGGACGGGACCTGGGAATGGGCTGCCTGGGATGATCACAGGCTGGGCTGGGGTACAACTGGGGCCTGGGGGATGCTGGAGGAGGACCTTAGCCCTCACCCAGACTAGGGAGGGGTTCAAGGCTTCCCAGCAGTGAGCTGTTGCGGAGGACCCTGGACCTCCCTCCCCAGTCCAGCCTGGAAAGCCAGTGGCCTGGGACAGACTTGTGAGGTCTTGGACAAGTAGTTGGGGTAGTTGGGTGGTCCCAAGGGGCTCCCCACTCAGCTATGTTGGCGCCTCGAATCCTGGTCCCCATGCCCTTGAGGGGTCGCGTGGAGCCCTGCCACGTCATCTTTAGCCTCCTGCTTTCCCTGCTGCTTAGAGCCCCCAGGACCACCCTTGGAAACGGAGCCCAGGCTGCAGGCCCTGGAGATCCCCTCCCTGCCCGCTCCTGGCCCCCAGCAGCCTGAGGAGGAGCCGACTCCAGAGCCCCAGCCCGGCCTCCAGGCCTCCTCCCTGTCGCCCCCTGGGGACTCTGCCAGGTGAGACCCCAAATGCCCCACCTCCCATGGGGAGCAGGATCAGTCCTTGCCCCAGCCCAACACCCAACCTTCACCAAACCAGTTTTTTTAGTTATAAAACTAACACACACACCTGGGAGAAAATTCCAAGGGGTTTCCAGGGCCCCATCCCAGGGCAACCACATCAGTGCTTCTGGTCCTTCCTCACTGTTTCATGCACGGACGAGCTTGTGAGCATGTTTCTCCTTTAAACACGTACCTGACAACAGCAAACCATACACACTGTTCTGCATCTTGCTTTTCCACCTAATGATGTATCTTAGAGGTGGTTTTATACCCATAGGTCGGCTTCATTTTCAACAGCTGCGTAGCACTCCATTCTATGGATGTACCAGCTTCTATTTAACTATGTGGTGGACATTTAAGCTTGTTTCCACTCTTTTGCCATGATCAATAGCCTTGACAGGCATCATTTCACTCATATGCAAGTAAATCTGTAGGATAAATCTAAGGAAATGGAGTTGCTGGGCCAAAGATACATGCATTTAACATCATAGTGGGTATTGCCAAATGCTCCCGTCCTGGCAGTGTGGGAGGGGCCTGGAATGCACCTCTGGGGCCTGCTGGGGTCCGAGCAGTAGCCAGAGGCTTGCCTAGGGAAGCCAGGGAGGGGGACAATGGTCTTTGAGGCTGGAGACCCAGGTTCTAGTCTGCCTTCTGGCGGGCTTGCTGTCTGCCTCGGGAGGGATCTGACTCTGGTCTCAGTTTCCCCATGAGCCCTCCCACCTGGACACAGCCGCTCTCTCCTGCCTGCAGGTTGGTGCTGTGGCTCCTGCACAGGCTGGAGAAGGCGCTGCCTCAGCCAGTGCTCCACGCGAAGGCTGGGGAGCAGGTCGGTGCTGGGCTCGGGAAGTGGGGCCCTGGCTGGTGGTGGGAGGGGTCTTAGAGCTCAGGCAAGGGTGGGATGGTCGGCCTGTGTCCCTGGGGTGGGGGCACAGAAGGACGAAGGCAGCTTGCATCGGGACCCCAGCCCCCAGCCTGCCTGTCTGCACGGCTCACACTCATTCCACACTCACACTCTCGGGTCACTGAGGCCACAGGGCTGAGAAGCGCTGGCCTGGCCCCGCCCTCCAGGAGCTCACAGTCGGTGGGGAGGTACTTCCATGGGGGGAAGAAGAGAGGATGTGGGGTGCAGAGGAAGAGCCTCCCAGGAGTGTCAAGGAAGGCTTCCCAATGGAGGCGGCCTGCAAGCTGAGACCTGAAGGAGGGGTAGGAAGGGGGTAGGTGAAGGTGAAGGCGGTGGTATAGGAAGGGCCCTTCAGGCAGAGGATCAGCATGTGCAAAGGCCCAGAGACAATAGAGGCCTGAAATGTTCTAGGAAGGAGTCGGGCTCACAGAAAGCCAGCGGGCCCTGTGTGTATTTCCAACAACCTAGGGTTCCAACATGGGTGGGTCAGGGGAGTGGGGACTTTGTCGCCTCTTATTCTCCCTATCCAAGAACCTGGCACCTGGCCCTTCTCTCTTGGGGACAGTTGGACCTCTTCATAGAATCACCTGGAACCGGGAGGCGGGAGGCCTGGATCCCGGTCCTGGCTGCAGTAGGAGACGGATAGGAAGCTTCAGGGCCCCTTCCCTGCAGGCTGAGCCCTCAGGCTTCGTGTTCATGGGCCTCTGTGGGTGACAGAAGAAGCGCAGCTCTGGCGTTTTCCGAGAAGAGGGAAGGGAGAGGCTGGTGGCAAGAAGATCCTTCAGAGAGGAGGGCCCTTGAGGACACAGGGGTGGGGCGGGGGAAGGTGTGGTGCTGGTGGGGAGAGGCCTTCCTGCAGACGAAGCTCTGAGACAACCCTCCAAGGAAGGGTGGGAGGAGGGTTTTCATGCGCAGAGAAGGAAGAGAGGGCACTCCAGGCAGGGACTCAGCCTGAGCAGAGAAGCCGAGGTGGGACCGAGCAGTGATCCCGGGCGGAGAGCGAGGGGAGCAGAGGGCGGCTTCTGAGGCAGGAGAGGAGCAGGGAAGAGGGGAGCCTGCTGCAGCAGGATCTCTGCAGGCGTCCTGGTAGGAGTGAGGACAACCCTCCTGCTCCTGCGGTGCCGGAAGGGGTGGTTGAAGCAGGGAGGCGGGCAGGAGGCCATGGCAATTCTTCCCCCTTTCTCCCCATGCAGGAGCCTGACTGCCCTGTGACGTGTGACGTGCAGACCAGTAAGTGACATGTTACTGGGTCCCCGTGTGCGTCTCTGGGAGGGTTGCTTGGTCTGAGCGCGCGTGGGCGCTGGAGCTGTCCCTGGCCAGACCTGGACTCACTGTGGGTGCAGAGTCGGGGTCTCCTGACCTGGGGCTGAGAGAGCCCCATGCTCGGCAGGCCTACCCCCCAGTCAGCCTGGCCAGGTAGCCAGAGCCTGGCCCAGAGCCAGAGGGTGGCTGGAGGCCCCTGTTGGGGCTGTGAGGAGATGCAGTGGGGAACCCTGCCTGTGTTCTAGCTTTCATCCAGAGAAAACAGCTCCGAGGCCAAGTCAATGGGCCCCCCTTTCTGCTAGAAACAACCCAGAGAGAGCTCCCCACTGCCCCCCTGGACCAGTGGTTTGGCTGAGCAGAGCCCTGGTTGGGGGGCACAGGGAGAGGGACGAGGTCTCCCTAGGGGAACTGGACCCCATAGACTCCAGCTCCCTTGAGCTGGGAGGGCATCCCCTCATCTGTGGCTGGGCTGGGGAGGTGTGTGGTGCCTTTCATCCCAGCCTTGTGCCAGGACTGGGGACAGACGGAGGCCAAGAGGGGAGGGCTAGGGTCCAAAATCTGCTCCTCCTTCATTTCGTGGCCTCCAGAGAGGCCTGTGGTGGACAGGGCATTCATTCATCAACAAATGATCATGGACAGACTGCTATGTGCCAGGCCTGTGATGAGTTCTAGAGGTGAGCAAAGCAGAGTTTGGGCCCCGGGGGTGGTGGCCCTATTCCACCCCGGACACAGGGCCCCAGGGCCTCCCAGGGCTGCTCCTCGCTGTGTCTGACGGCTGTGTCCAACACCAGCCCCGCTCGGCTGGTGGTGGTCTTCACGAGCACTCTGACGCTGGCAGTCACCGTGGCCTGGGGCAGCACAGACAGGCCACTGACCGTGGAGCTCGGGACTGACAGAGCAGCCGTGGAGGGGATGGGTTTGTACAATTGTGACAACAGCGGGAGGAGGAGGCCTCAGAGCAGGGCTCTCAGTCCTGTGGAGCTCATGGCCACACTGGAGGGTGCAGAGCAGCGCCCCCCACGGCTGTTGGGGCAGACGCAGGGGCAGAGATGTGCCCAAGGTCACTGAGCGAGTTCTCTCGGAGTGGTGACTGGAGTCCCCTTGGCCTGGCAGCATTGCCCACTTAGGCCAAGGTTAGTGGGACAAAAAACCTTCCCTGGAGCACAGACTCCCAGGGGCTGCTGAGAGCTCTGAGGACGGAGCCCCCGGCCCCTCTTACCCTCCTCTCTGCTCTTCTGGGTGGAGGCAGGAGTCTCAACCTGTAGACAGGGCCTCCTTGCTGTGCCCCGAGTGTGTGGGCCGTGGGTGGGCTCTGGGACCCACCCCAGAGATTGGAGGGTGCGTTAGTTTCCTGGGGCTTCCTTGACAAAGGCCCCTGAACTGGGGGCCTTCAAAGAACGGAAATGTATCCTCCCACAGTTCAGGAAGCCAGAAGTCTAAAATCAGTGGTGGCAGGGTTGGTTCCTTCTGGGGCTCTGAGGGCAGAACAGTTCCATGCCTCTCCCCTGGCTTCTAGGGGCTGCTGGCAATCCCTGGGGTCCCTTGGCTTCTAGCTGCCCTCCAATCTCTGCCTTTTCCTCTGCGTCTGTCAGATCTCCCTCTCCGTTCTCTCATAAGGACACCAGTGGTTGGATACAGGGCCCACCCTAAATCCAGGATGATCTCATCCTGAGATCCTCGACTTCTTACACCTGCAAAGACCCTATTTCCAAATAAGGTCACATTCACGGGTAACAGGATTAGGATTTGGCTGGGGGATGAGCGTCCCTCCCCTTCTCCCCACTCTGTCCCCAGCCCTCCAGCCGTTCACTCATTGGGTCACTCACTCATTCATTCCCTCCGCCTGTCCGCCGCGCACCCACCCTTCTGTCTTCTCCTTTGTTTCAGGGGTAGCGGCAGCTGGAGGCCTCTGAAACAGGGGAGAAGGGAGCCTGGGAGAGCACGGACGGACAGCCGGACAGATGGATGGAAGGAAAGAAGGGTGCCCTGAAGAGAGGACCTGCAAGGGAGGGGGAGGGGTGGCTGTTGAACCCCACCCTCCTTGAACAGTGACCCCTTGCCCCTCCCCACGCTCCCAGGCAGGGCGAGAGTGAGTCAGAGTCACTTCCATCAGTCCCAGAGCCACCTCTCGGGGACCAAGGCTGACCCCTTTCCACCAGAATAGGGGAAGGGCGGTCTGTGAGACTTAAGCTAGACAGCAGGAGGACTTCCCACTGAAGGCTGTGGGAGAGCCCGTGGAGGACTCTCTCTCAGAGGACACCCACACAGCCCTCGGCGTGGCACCTGGCTCAGTCGGTGCCCCTACAGGCCACAGTTTCTCCCAGAAATGGTCCTGCTTTGGCTTGGCCACATTCTCTCCCTCCGCGGGTCAGGACTCTAGTGGACGCAACAAAGGCTTTCGCTGACATTAAAAAGCATTAATTAGGGCAGGCTCCGTGGCTTAGCGGTTAAGTGTGCGAGCTCTGATGCTGGCGGCCCGGGTTCAGATCCCGGGCACGCCCCAAGGCACCACTTCTCTGTCCAACGCGAGGCCGAGTCCCACGTACAGCAACTAGAAGGATGTGAACCTATGACATACAACTATCTACTGGGGCTTTGGGGGGGGAAAATGAATAAATAAAATCTTTAAAAAAAAAAAAAAAAAGCATTAATTAGCCCATCTAACCTGTGATGGCATGACATTATTGCTTCAGATAAGGCTAAATGAGTGTGTAGGTTTGGAAAGTGGGTGGATTGAATGTGGCTTGTGGTATTGGGGTTGCAGGAAGGGGGAGTTAGCCAGGGGTCCTGGGCTGGTTGCCCTGGGTCCCAGCTGGCCCACGGATGTCTTTGTTTGGGACAAGGAGTTATTTTAAAAATTAGAATTAGTTGTCAACATTTAAAAATCAGATGGCTTTACATAGAAAAAGCTGGCTTCTCTCAAAAACTGGTAAGATCTGGCTGTGACGGGCTCACAGTGTGCTTGTAGGGAGATCTGAGCAGCAGCTGCCACCTGAGGACGGGTGGCACCCTCCACTTGGCCTACATACACCATCTCCCTGGCTGCAGGGCCCTTTGCGTTTGAGACCCCTGACATCTCAAGCTGGTGTGGGGGGGAGGGCAGTCCCGGCAGAGACAATAACATGAGCCAGTGCCTGGAGGTAGGAGAGGGAGGGGGTGCACGGGGAGAGTGGTGGGCACTTCAGCTAATCTGGAGCCCAGGGTCCTTGATGCAGAAGAGAAAACTAGAAAAGTTGGAGCTTGATTTCAGGGGACTAGGCTGTAGGCAATGGGGAGCCATTGAAGGTGGTTGAGCAGGGGAGTGACTTCACAAAGATCACCCTGAGGCTGAGCAAGCATTGGAGGCAGGGAAAGCAATGGGTTCTTGAACTTTGGGCCACATCTGAAGCATCTAGGGGCAGCTGTGAAGAAATGTCCCACCCCCAGACCTCCCGAATTGAAGAGTGTGGGAGCCTGGGAATCTGCATTTTCAAGAAGCACGCAGATGATTCCAATGATGGGGTAGTAGCAGAGGCCACATTCTGAGAAATGCCTGGTTAGTGAGAAGTTAGTGCTTTGGGGACCAGGTGGGAGAAGATGTGGGCCTGGACCAGGGAGAGGCAGAGAGAGGGGGCATCACGACCCAGGTCTCAGGGATGATGGAGGCTTTGCCAGCAACCCAGGTCCAGGTGGGGGCCTTGGCCTAGAATCCATGTCCCTGAGCTCTCTGTCTGCTGGTCCTGGAAACAGGAGCCCCTCCCCAGACGGGGCTGCTGGAGTCAGAGCCCCGCTCACTCGGCGGCCCTGAGGGACGTCTTGGGCTGGCAGAGAGGGTCTGGCCAGGAGGCGGCATGCCCGTGAAGGACCCTAGGGGCAAAGTCTAAGCCCCGGATGGAGCAGCAGTTTCCATGTGAGCTCGAGCACCCCCGTTGCGTCAGAGGCCCCGTCTATGATCTGGGCACCTGGGTGGGGCCCTGGAAAAGCCCCGAGCTGCGAACCCGATGCCTGCGGAGAGGGGCTCAGAGCTCTGGGGGCAGACAGTGGCTCCCTCACCAGGCCGTGCTCGGGGCCTGCCCAGGAGCGGTACCCCATGCCTGCCCTTCCCGGCTGGAGACCTCGGCACCGTCCTCTTCTCAGAGCTGTGGAATCTTTGGCCGATAGTGTAGGGCCTGCCTCACAGGCCTGGCACAAAGACGAAAGGAGGAAGTGCTTACAAGACGCTGTCGGGAGAGAGGGAGAATCTCCCTCTGCCCTTTTCCTTAAGGTTCTTATGGCTGGCCAAATAATTAACAAAACAGGTTAGCAGGAGAAAATAATACCAAGTTTAATAACATGTATATATGGGAGAAAGCAGGGACACTGCATTTCTCAACACAATAGCAGAAATTCTCGTCTTAAATACCATGTTCAGCCAATGACAAAGGAGGATGTTGGGGGTGGGGGGAGCCAGCTACAGGAGATCACCACTAAAGCACAATAAACAAGATTAAGGTTATTATGCAGATTTAAGGCCTCACCTTCCACATTGATAAGTCTCTAGAAATGAGGCCATCCCCCC